TCGATCAAAGGGCCGCCAATCATTGTTTACAGAACACGTTTCCATTAGTTGGGTGTCTAATATCATAAATGTTCGTGCCTTTCCCAGTGCTAGAAACGCATCTCCTTAAATTCGATAAGACAAGCCATTGGCTTCTATTTCTTAATTTTACTGCTTGGAATGCACTTCATTACTGATACATTTGCTCAGCGTCCTTCATGTCCTTATTTGGATACTTGTCCTTCGTTTGGTTTCTGTTATACAGCACCTAAGATACACATTCTTCTTGTGACCAACATGTATGTATGAATACATAGAAAATTCGAATTTTATTCTACTGAGCATTTGTAACTTAGGCAAATGCTTTGCTACAGTGCATATATATAAATCGAGTTGGTTTTAAGTTAGAAGTATTGTCAGCTTGAGTACAAGCCTGAAACGATGGGAGGGGGGGGGGAGAAAGTATGATGTATGCAGGCATACTTTGCATTTTATACGTTCTTGTTTTAGAATATGATATTTTCAGTTACTGTGTGTGCAGTTTTTATAAAACACCTAGTTAAGAAAGTTGCTTTCACTCTAGCTACCTTTGTTCTTTGTTATTCCCTTGAAATAACACTTGGTCTGCCCAATGGAGGACACCAGTGTCCTTCAATGGTAAAGCAGGTGAGGTTAGAAGGTCACAACCTACTTATTTCCAAGTGGGAGTGATCGACCAGACACTTGAGTATCACTAATCTCTCTGGATAAGTCTGGTGTTATGGATTTAACTAAGAAATATGAGTTTTGGTCAGTCTGAAACAGAATTTAAAGTGAGTCAGTCAGTCTGGATTAAAGCTTGAAGGAATAGCATCAGTCTGATTAATCTATATCTCCAGTAAAGGTGGGTGTCCGTCAACCAAATGTACAAAACACACACACACTGTTGTTTTGTGTAGTAAATGACTAAGGGTGTTTCATTGTGTCTCACACACTTATGTTCAGTCAATTTATTTTTGAGCACAGATTCAGTTAGTTAATTATTCTCTCATTGAGCACAGATTCAGTTGGTTAATTATTCTCTCATTGACATGTTTCTTTGATTTTACTTAAGTTTAGTCATCAATTTTCTAATTTCAAAAGTCATGACACCTCCATTTTGATCTATAGGGCTATACAAATTTCTTTCCTTCTAAAGAGTGAAGCTTAGATCTAATACCTGTTTTTAAAAGTTCAATTTTCTCACATAACTGACAGTTTGATAATTTGTTCTTTTTTGTTTTATACAAATATTGACTGCTCTATGCATACCGATCAAATTAACCATACTAATAATATATATATTCATAAATTCTTTTATTTTATTGTTGTTTTCTTTATTTAAAAACATTTATACTTATACAGGCCTGTGAATTTAAAGGTTTTGGTTTTAATAATGGATTTTCCATGATTCAGCTACGTTGATTTCGAAAATAATATTAATTTTTTTCTATCATGTAAGGATTTTTTTGCCAATCGGGAAGAAAAAAATCTTACTCAGATCAAATTATTATTTCGTTTACCACAATGAACATTTTTATTATGTTTGGGTTCTAGAACGAACATTAAGACTCTCATGTCGCGACTGGTCTAAAGAAATTTATAGTCAGTGGTTTTCAATATTTTAAGGATAACAAAACGTGACCCGATTTCAATGAAAATGATTCACTTATGTAAAAGTACATATGACTTTTAGTGAAAAATTTGTACGTGACGGAGAAAAATGGATATCACTTTCGGATTCAGCATACAAGAATTACTGTAGAACATGTGAAAATTTCAAGACAATAAAACCACCTCACACCTGTGTTATTGCCAAATTACACTTGATGATCTCAAGAAGGGCTCAAACAGCACTGAGAAAATAAAATCCTAGAACTGCTGAGTATGCTCCCAGGACCTGTCTTAATTGTGAAAAATCACAGCAGTAATATAGGGTTTAACTCTTGTGTGAATATAAATAATTGTAACCATAAAAACTAAGAGAACATTCACTAAAAATGGGCTGGCCCGGCATGGCCAGGTGGTTAGGGCGCTCGACTCGCAAGCTGCGGGTCGCGGGTTCGAATCCCCGTCCCACCAAACATGCTCGCCCTCTCAGCCGTGGGGCGTTATAATGTGACGGTCAATCCCACTATTCGTTGGTAAAAGAGTAGCCCAAGAGTTGGCGGTGGGTGGTGATGACTAGCTGCCTTCCCTCTAGTCTTACACTGCTAAATTAGGGACGGCTAGCGCAGATAGCCCTCGTGTAGCTTTGCGCGAAATCCATAACAAACAAACAAACTAAAAATGGTGTGTCCAGTCCAATAAATAACCTTGCACAGGCCTACTTTTATTCAGTCAGATCTCATTCACAATATTATGAACAATGTCTCAAGTGAACACAGTAGTTTTCCTATTTAGTTGTGGTATGTGTGTGATATATATTAGAATAAAACTGGATCAGTATGGGTTTTCAGTAAGAAAAGTGTATAACAGCATTATACCAGCTGGATTACAACATACATTTTTTTGTATGTTGAATCCCAATAACAAGATTAATACTTCAATTTCAGTGGCTAAAATTGAGAACATAAACAAACTATGCTTGTTAGTTTTAACTAGGTTATAATCAGGATTTGTTTGGTTATTTGTTGTTAAGCACAAAATTACACAATGAATTATCTGTTCTGTGGCCACAATGGGGTTCAAACTCAAAATTTATCATTATAAACTCTCAAGCTTACCACTGAGGGGCACATCATCAAGAAACAAGCAGTAAAAACACATTTATAAGAATCTTTAAAAAAAACTCAGTCATTGTTGGAAACATCTCATTGGATTTGTGGGCATATCATGTTTTTACTCCCCATAGTTTCTAGATAACTTTCAAATTTTCACAGTCATTCTGTGACCTTTCTTTAAAGTAGATCTAAAGGCAGAAAGAAAAAATACACAGAAAACTACCCTCACGTCTTTGTTTTGGTTTAACTAAATTTTTCAGTATTTTTTTCCATATTTGCACTCATGCGTACACACATGAAAATTAGTTGAGAGGGGCTACCGTAAGTGCCAGATCCAGAATGTAACTGGGAGGGATAACTGGTTAGAATCAAGAGGCAGCAACTCCTGGTTGGGTTTGGGGAGTGATACCTTAAAGCTCTGAAGAGTCTGAAGCAAATGAGCATTAATGAGACACCTCAAAAAGTGTAAAATGCAATAGGCATGAGGAACACAGTAAAGCAAGTGACCATGGCATAGTGATGCAGTATGAGTATGAGTGTACCAATGGTTATCACTACGATATTGAGAGTGATACTGCCAGTAACTTTATAAAACTCCCTTTCTCTCTTTAAGTACAGAGATTATTATACAGCAATGCTTATAAAATAATATTAGTATTTAGTATGGAACTTCAGACACATTTTTATGAAACCATATCGTGTTGTTTTATTTCATATAAATTCAGCTGTGCAAGTGACAAAATCTCTTTTGACATCCTGTCCAAACTAAAAGGAATTGAAAGAATAGAGATAAGGTTTTTTTATAACAAATCCTAAAATTCTATCTATTTTAAAATACGTGCAATTTACTGAAATCCTCTCTATTTATCATCTATAATTAAAAGCCATATGCTACAAATCTCATATGTGTTTATACTGTTACGACAGCGGAAGTCACGTGACTCAGCTGGCGCGTTTGGCGCTGGAAGCGTGCGTATAGTTTCTAGAATTATCGGGGAAGTCCGAGTTTGTTCAAAATACCCTCTTCTTTAGTATATAAGCCTGGCAGCGAAAGCCAGCGGGGTTAATATAAAGTGTGTGTTTTGTACTCGTCGAGAGCGAAGTTTTCGAGATTGTAAATCGCTGTGATTTATAGCGTGTATTATAAAACTTGTTAAGTTTAAAGTGACGAGAAACGTACTGACTGTGGAATTACCGTGTACTAAAAGTTTGTATCGAGAAAGAATAAACTGGTTTAATCAAGAAAGGACTTGTATCGCTGAAGTTCCTCGGAAAGAATTTCTACCGGAAATTAACAAACAAGCAGATACGTAACAATACACACGAATTTACCAGCTCTGAAACTGTATCCTAAATTCAAATAAGTTGTTGATATTTATATCAAAAGTAAATACTTCTTTCAGTTTTAAAGTGGTTAAAATAGATTAACTAAATTTAATGTTTTGATATTAAATATTTGACTATCTACACCTAATTGCATTTTTTTGGGCAACAACCAAATGTGGGTTCACTTTGTTAATGTAAGCTATACCAAGCAGAATTGCCCAAACAACTTGGCTACACAGTTATACTGAGATAATAATTTATAACAGTGAATACCATGACCACATATGTTGCTATTTTCTTTACACATAATGAGTATTCCTGATGCTGAGTCTCACGAATAACAGTAAGTTTTGGCTCTGAAATTTGTAAATGGATGCATTACTAAACAAAAACTACATAAACTCTTTAATTGCAGCTAGTTCTTTTCAAAACACAAATTATATAGTGCTACGTAAACCTTAATAAATATTAATGTGTTTGCCTGTGTATATTCTAAAAATAAAAATTATAGATATTTCTGTAATTAATCTATATCTCAAAGAAAATTATGCACATTTTGCATATTCGTATGGTGTGGTAGAAGTATCCAAGTTCCTCAGTTTACCACTATTGGGGGTAAAATAGTAGCATGGGTATATTTACGTATCTATCTATATCTATATGTGTGTGTGTGTGTATAACCATTCTCAATTAAAATGTGTTATTTCAAATACAGCTAAAAAATGTATCTCCTGCAAGTTAATGGTGAATAATTGGATACATTAACACGTGAACTACAGAAATCAATGCACAGTTGGATTCATCAAAAGCACACTTTATGTTAATGTTATGAATTTATGTACAATTGTTGGATCTAAACTTTTCAAATATTTTCTGTTAGACAAGAATTTAATATTCAAAAGTACAAATGCTGAAGTTATATTTGACTTTCCTCCATGATTTGTGTTTCTGCAGGTTGGCTATATGATGCAACAGGATCGTACGATCCAGGTTTTTATGTCTCGGGAGCTGTGATAGCCATAAGTGGAATGATGATGTTTTGTTTACCATATGTTCAAAGGTTGCAGAGTCATTCAACCAAATCAAGTGGCCAAGTACAGAGATTTCAAGAAGTTCCCACAGCTGTTTAATACACAATTAATTAATAGTAATAACAATACAAATATTTCATTGTAAAATGTGCATGTCCAAGCACAGCCGTGCTACCTCTAACATAGCTTGTCAAATCAGACTAATGAATGTTTCAACTCTTATCATAATAAGAAATTTTATGATTTTGCAAAATTTTTAGGAAAATTTTTTTTTCTCTCAAAAATTAACTATAAAATAAAAATGATCTGAACAGATGTGCAAGTTTGTTTAGACAATTTCAATATTATGGTATTGAACAACATTCAAGTGAACTTTTAAAAGAAAACAGTAAAGTGATCAATTTTTCTTAAAATACTGGTATCTTTTAGAATTTTGGAAGCATACAAATATGCAGTATTTGTAGTAAACTTTAAAATAATCATACTCCAGAGTTTTTTTTAAAAAGCTTTTTAACATTGTACAACTTAGGATCAAACTTGACAAAAAATACATGTTCTCACTATTTACTGTAAGTTTGCTTTTGTTTTGACTACTCTTAAGTTTAACAACTAAATATGAAAAATACTGTCTGAAAAAATATTCAGAATCATAGTGAAATGAAAACAATTCTATGTTGATGGATTATAAGAAAATATATATCATTTCATATACTGTACAACATCATACCTGAACAAAACAGCAGTGTTTTTTTTAACCATACTTAGTATATGTTACACAATTTAAATATATTTTACTTATTACATGTGAGCAATAAAAAGTGTATTATTCTTGTAAGATCTTTCTGTCAGTAAATATTTACATTTTGAAGCTAAACTTCTCAGTTTACTTAACATATTTTCTTTCATTTCCTGGACACTTCTTCTGATTAATAGTAACACTGCTTTTTCGTTTTTAACAAAAAAGGTTGTAACAAACATGATTACATGCTGCCATAATAATTGTACTAAGTTAGAGAGTTATATCAGCATCAGTTTTATGAAGAAACCGATTATTTAAATAGGGATGTAGAATATTTTAAAACCTCCCCTTGTTAAAGGGTAAATAAATTTGTGAGTTTCATTAGCTTCATAAATTTTTTAATTATTATTTGAAACACTATATACAAACTGAAGACATTATACATTTGTCCTTTATGTTCGCTCAACTCGGTATATCTATGCCATAACAGATTCTGAATATCTTTAATAGAATTTTATGTATTTTTGTAAGTTTCTAATAGTAATATTTTTGTTGAACATTAACCCATGATGAAAAGCTGTTGATGCAAAAGTTTATGATCAGAAGAATAGTTTCTTATATATATATATTATATACTCCAGCTTGTTGCAGCGAGAGACTTATTAGTATGCAATGTAGCACCTTAGCCTCTTTGATAAAACCTAAGTGTAGATAGAAACGTTACAGATGTACACTTGAAATACCATACTTGGAGATTCCACAATTATTGATAACCTTCAACACTCAATAACAGTCGATCGTCTTATTTGATACAGAAAGTGTTCCAGTAGATGTATTGCAATACTCTCTTGAAAATATTGTAAAACAAGTTCAAAATACAATATCCAGTGCATATAAATGTTTTACAGTCTAAGAAATCTTTAGGATGAGTAATATAAGCCAATATGTCTGTTTACAAGGATTAGTCTCTTTAGTAATCTAAACTTATTCAGCAAATTTCAGCTTGTGCCGAAGCAGTGATTTGATTATGAGAACTGAACTGGGCTGTCTTCTTTGGGTAATTGCACATAACACTTTAAATTATTGGTTACAACCTTAAAAGAGCATATCTCTATCAAGTAAAATTTTAATTTTACAGTAGCTTGAATTAGAATTGTAGTTGTATTTTCTAATATATTAAATTGTTATTATTCTGAAACAGATGACTAGATGATGTTAAAACTATTTAGAACTTATTTAAATAGCATTTTAAATAACTCACTGAAATTGTAAATAAAGACATTTTAATTTGTTGCTTATCTGCTCCAAATATCTTTGGTATGTTTTTCTACAATATTTTCCATATATATTATGTAGTGTGCTTTCATTTGATTTCTGGAAAAACCCATGTAAATGTAATTTTTTTAATGAATAGGATACAATTGTCAACAAAAACTAGCAAGCTCCATTAGCATCTTGAAGTTGGTGGATGTGTTATACAAGCCTAATACTAGCATCACACAAAACTCTTACATGCAATCATGCATTCTAAAAGCAGTCTTGCATCTGCACTCATCACCCAACTTGACTAGCTAGTATATGAATACCAAATATAAAGCGATGAATCAATGGAAGCCTCCCAGTGCATCCAGACATTCGTATGTTCATGATAAGGGAAAGGCATCAATTAGAGTTACAATTTTCACCTGTCTCAAACCAAAGAATTATGGCATACATTTCTTCTTCCTTACGATCCCTACTGGAGATGACAAAGCACTCTCCAAAGGTTATATGTCCTTCAATATCCTCTGTATCTCAGCACTGGCATGCCCCTAGTGCTCCAAGAAAGCTGACATGGCAGTTGCTTCATCAGACATGCATCGCCTGTACCTTATGTTTTAACAAGCCATTGTTGTTTATCTCAATCGATCAGTTAGTCCCACAAATACATCAGCATACTCTACCAACAGGATGCCCACCTTATGAAGAGTTGCCTGAAAATGTGTCAGGATTCGTGAAAGTGTTATCGGAAAGGATGGATAATATTCACCATGAAATGCATTCAAACTTG